AAATTTGTTTCCATTGCGAAAAAGTAAAAAAAAAAAAACAAAAAAAAAAAATTTCACGTGAGCAGTTGGAAAAGCTTTTCCCAACTTTTAGTTGGAAAAAGCTAAGTTGGGAAAAGCTTTTCCTTCATTGTAAAGAAAACTGGCGCGTGAGCCTACCAATGGCAAAATGTTTTCTAGTCAAAAAAAGTCCTATCAAACACTATTAAAAGTGGGACCCTAGAAAAAGTCACCTATCAAACATGCCCTTAGGGAAAACAGACATGTTGATTAGTTATATGAGAGCAAGAATTGTCATAGGAAAACTATTTAATAAATCGATGAAACTTAAAGCTTTTGGATCTCTGAATAATAAGCAGTAGAAGAGACAATACAGTTGAACCAAAGAAATAATAAAGGTCCCAACGTTAAAGAACAAAGATATACTACCAAAAATCGAACCAATGGCCAGAAATCTTGAACAAATGACAAAACTCTGAATTCTAATGACACGTTCAGTAAGTGAATAAAACGATCATTATATTGTATGGTTCCTACTAAATACTAGATAGGCAGACTGGATCAAGGGGGAGCTAGCCGGTTGAAGTAGGGGGTCCCAAAGTTGAAGGGGTGGGGACCCACGGGGGTTCGGGAGGCAGCCCCCCGAAATTATTTTTTTTTAAACATTATTTCTTAAAATGAGAAAAGTTGGTACTTTGTGATGGAGAGAGGAAACAAAGTAACATAAATTAATGTACATTATTAACAAAAAAAAATGTATAAAAGAAAGTAATAATATTTAATTGGGAAGAGAAGAATATCACAGCAACAGGCCGACTAGAGAAGAATCACCTCGCCATAGCCCAGTTCTGAAGACGGAAGAGAAAGAATCGGTAAAATTGGATTGATTAGGGTTTAATTTTATTAATGGTGAGGACAAAATTGTAAATACAAAAAAAAAATTGTCAAAAAATTGGTTGGTTGGGTGGGTGGGTGGGTGGGTGGGTCCTCCCTCCGCCCTGGATTGTCTAGTATTATTTAGGTGTAATGAACGTCCATCATATTGTAGAGTCATATCTAGTACGGCATATAGTTAATATCTATAATTATGTCCAGTACTATATAGGTAGAATGGGGACATCCATTGTATTGTACAATCATGTCTAATTTGAATAGAATGGTAACCCATTTTTTATGATGCAATCATGGGATTAAAATCAGGTTTTTAATAAAATTTGATGAAATGTATAGTTGAAAAATTACGAGTTCCATGAAATACGTGGTTAAAATTAATTGTTAATTTTGACTTATATTAAAATCTAGATTTTAATCCATACCAAATAGGAGCTTCGTATTGCACAAAATAAAAGAGTTCTAGTACAACATACGTGGATTGGACGTTCAATGTAATGAGACTTTTATGTTTACTATTGTACGGTCATATATTTAATATGAATTAAGCCCCCTATGAATTAAGCCCCTACCCCCTATTTGCAGGGCCCCACCCAATATATTAAAAAAAAATTGGAGGGATTCTCAAACATCGACAGTAAATCAATTCTCATTTTCAACCATTCATTCTTCAATAAAATAATATTTTTCATCACATTAATAATTTTTTCTTCTTTTTCAACCACACATTTCCCATCATATCACTATTTAAAATCAATTTTTCTCCTAAAAATCCCTCTCAAACAAGCTATTAATATGGTGTATCAAGATGCCCTAGTGTATTGCCAATGGTACCTATAAAAGTAGAGTAAACATCAAGTATAGACTACAAGTGAAGTTTAAAGGGGAAGTAAAGCAAAACACAATATGGGCATTCCACATGTATTGGCTATACCCTACCCTGCACAAGGCCATGTGATACCTTTAATGGAGGTTTCACTGTGGCTAGTAAAAAATGGCGTCAAAGTCACATTTGTGAACACCGATTTCAATCACAATAGAGTTGTCAAGGCATTTTCAAATTCAGACGACATTCAAGAACTGGTAAACATGGTTTCAATCCCAGATGGGCTAGAATGTTGGGATGACAGAAATGAACTTGGAAAGTTGACAAAATCCATTTTTAGTGTCATGCCAGGGGAGCTGGAGGCTCTTATTACCAAGATAAATCGGTCGGAAAACGACGAAATATCATGCGTTGTTGCGGACGAGAGCATGGGATGGGCATTTGAGGTTGCTGAGAAGATGAAACTCAGAAGAGCAGCCTTCTGGCCAGCCACAGCAGCACTGTTGGGGTTGGGATTCAGCATCCCAAAGATACTAGATGAGGGGATTGTAGACAGTAATGGTAAGTCTCGACTACGAAGAAAACTTGATTATGCACCGACTTGAAGAATGATAGTATTCGTATAGGATATATACATGAGTTTGACAAAATCTTTTGATACAGTCGGAATACTAATCAAGACGTTGGACTGAGTAGAACTAGAACTCAAAGACCATATTCATCCGAATTAGTTATTATCAGAAACTTTTTTCAATTAATAGGTACATGATTTGACATATCTGTTACATTGTAGTTATATGGAAGCACGCAGCAACTTTGGTAAGGAGAGCACTGGACGAAAAATGTCCCCGAATTCTTATTCAATTTCATCGTACTAATGAGAACTACATAGAAAATATGCATTTAGTTGCTTATTATTAATGTGGAAACTTTCTTTCTTGCAGGAAGGCCACTGAAAAACCAGATGATTCAGTTGTCACCAAAAATGCCAGCCATGAACTCTATGCACTTTATTTGGACTTGTATAGGCGATCAAGCAACGCAGAAAATCATTTTCGATGTTTTTGTGAAGAACAAAAAATCTGTCAAATTGGCAGATTGGATAATATGCAACTCATCGGAGGATTTAGAGCCTGGTGCATTTTCCTTGTTTCCAAATATTCTCCCAATAGGCCCTCTACTGGCAAGCAACCGGCTTGGAAAATCAGCAGGTTATTTTTGGCCCGAGGACAATGCCTGCCTCGACTGGCTCAATCAGAAGCCAAAGAATTCTGTCATATACGTTGCATTCGGTAGTTTCACTGTATTCGACCAGACTCAATTCGAGGAACTGGCTCTCGGGCTAGAACTAACGAATAGGCCTTTTCTGTGGGTTGTTCGATCGGATTCAACAGACAAGGCGGATAAACCTTACCCGAAAGGATTCCAAGACAGAGTACATAGTCGAGGAAAAATGGTAGGGTGGACGCCTCAGCAACGGGTTCTATCTCATCCTTCCATTGCCTGTTTCATTAGCCATTGTGGATGGAATTCTACCATTGAAGGAATAAGCAATGGAATCCCATTTTTGTGTTGGCCTTATTTTGCTGACCAGTTCCTTAATGAAAGCTACATTTGTGAAGATTGGAAGGTGGGATTAGGATTCAAGAAAGATGAAAACGGAGTCATCAGTCAGGAAGAAATCAAGAATAAGATAGAACAAATTCTTGAAGATAAAAGATATAAAGAAAGAGCATTGAATCTTCAGAAAAAGACTATGGACAATGTTAGAGGAGGGTGTTCTTACAAGAATTTCATTAACTTTATAGAATGGATTAAGGATGAGAAAAAGTAGAAACATTTGTGATACCTTTAGTAAAGAGGCACGGTAAAAGCACGTCTGGTCGGAATAAAGGAGGAAGGTTGTAATGTGATGCAATGCGTTGATAGCTTTGCATTTTTATTTCACAAATACATGAATGAGAACTAAGTTCTACAAATTTAAAATAGAAGTTTCGCACAACATTAATATTGAATATTTTTCTTAAAATTTGTCAAGGATCGATATTGAAGTCGAGTAATATAGCACGAAGTTATATCATACTTGTCATTCTATATTGGCTCTAATCGTTTCTTGTAATAATAGAAGGATGTGATTATTGAAAAATTAATTAAAATCAACCAGTAAGCACCATAGCGTGGGCATGTGCCAAATTTTGGGGGTTTAGCTGGAAATGAAGACACGCTTGTGTTTGTTTGTGGTCACCTCACCCCACACCAGGTCAATGTGTACCTTTCTGAGAATGAGTGGTCACCTCACCGTTTATATCGTTTGGTTGAGTTGACAGCCTTAACAAATCAAGTATCAATGTGTGTGTGTGTTAATGGTCGATTTTATTGAAAAAAATTTAACAAAAAAGAAGTATTGATTGTTTGTTGGATAAAACTTCATTAATTTTTTATCAATTCTTTAATTGATCAAACTTTAATTTTAACTAAATATTTAATGAACTCACAATTTTTATCAATTTTTCAGTCACACGTAACATCATTTTTTATCAAAATTTATTAAAATCTTTATAAAAGATTTGTCAAACAACCCCTAGAACTAAACTTTGATTTAGTTCCAATCGTATTTTGATAGTTCCCGAATCATGCCAACTCTACAGTCAAGTTTTTCAAAAATAAAATTTAATTTACCACTAGTAATGATCTTTTGTCAATTTCAATAAAATTCGGGCAAGATAAAGTTATCGAGTCAAGAATTACCATATATTTTCCACAAGTCAATAATGCTAAGTTTAGTGGATAATACTAGACTAAAATGTATAAAGAATATTTATGCACTTATTCGAGCTTCTAAATTTAGGCCATGTCTGGGCGCACAGTTTCAACCAAAGAATTGATTTTTGCACCGTTGGCACCCCAAGTCAGTCGCACATTTTGACCACTCCCCTCACGAGTGGGTCCCACCAGCATCCTTTAACGGTCACTGTTTCAATTAAAATTTGATCACAATCTCTCCCAGACATGCACTTAATTAATCATGCATTAATTGAGAGGATATCTATCTAATTTTGTGTAAATATATTAATTGTACATAAAATGAATACAATTGGCATGGAAAAGTCATTTTGGAGCTTAATTGAATTTCTTTTGTAGTTATTATAGACCATTCGGATTGCACGTAATTAAGAGAGCAATCGGAAGTTTAACTCCCGGATAGATATTATTAAACGAATCAAAAACATTGATCTTCGTATCCAAATAGATGTTGTTGAATAATGAAATTGATATTAAAATGGGAAAATTCGAGATCTAATGTTTGTTCATTAATTGAATATTCATAACCGCTTTTCATTAATTAGTTAGATTAGTTTAGTTTTAGATTTAATTACCAAACTTTTTGCAATGGGTAGTTGCAATTCTGGAAAAAGAGTCAAATTTTTCTTATGTTCTCTTCCTACGCTGCAACATTTTTCAATATGATTAAAAAAAAAAGTTTACAAAAGAAAAATTAAACATTCTATTTTCTCTAGCACGTGTCACTTTTTGATGATGATGAAATCAATCCTAATCATAGCTCCATATTTATAAGAAAAATTAAGATAAAATCAAAATTACTGTGAAAATTTTAAACTATTCACTTAGGGATTTTGTATAGCGATAATAATTAAGCTCCATAAAACTGAACAGTCACAACAATATAGAAAAGATGATAGACTAGAAAATGATGAGATATCTTATTAAACGGATAATTATTGTTTAGGACACATAATTGGAAGGACAATGTTTTATTGAATGAACAAAAGTGGCAACTGTACGTGACACATTTTTTTTTTTTATAATATGGATACGATGTACCAACATATAGTTAAGGATTAAGCTTGTCATTAAGTCGACCAAAAGGGCACACAATGGAATGACGGTGGAAAACAATCATGGCTTGCACTAGTGTTTTAATAATGAAGAGAAATAAAATAAATTCCAGTTTTGTCTTCTTTCTTCTTTCTTCTTTCTTCTTCTTCCTTCTTCCTTTTTATTTTTTATTTTTTATTTTTTTAACAGAGGAATAGAGATGAATTGAAGTTTCAACAACTCGATGCTGCACGACTGACCTCATCGTGCATGCACTGTAGTATGATGGTAAGTCAGATGTTTAAGGATGTATAATTAAATAGGTGATAAGTTGGGAATTATGGTTAAATTCACTACTGGCCACCAAACTTTATATTTAGTATTATCATAGCCATCCAATTTGATTTTATTTGACAACAACCACACAATTTTATATAACGTTTCACCATGGCCACCGAATTTTATATAATATTTCTCCATAGTATTGTCATAGTCACCTAATTTGATTTTATTTCACCATGACCACCTAATTTTATATAATATTTCACCATAACCACTCAATTTCTTTTCACAATTTTCACTAATTTTAAAATGGGTAAAATAGTAACATTGCATTATATATATAAAATAAATTAAAAAATAATTTTTTTTAAAACGTTTATTTTAAAATAAGTTTTTATTTTATTTTAAAATTTTTGTTTTTTAAAAAATAAGATTTTTTTATTTTATTTTTCTAAGTAATTCTTTTTTTTAAAAAGTAAGTTTTTATTTTATTTTAGAAACGTTTTTTAAATAATTTTTTTTATTATTTTATTTTTCTAAGTAACTTTTTTTTTAAAATAAGTTTTTATTTTTGTAAGTAACGTTCTTTTTAAATAAGTTTTTGTTTTAAATTTTTAATTTTTTTTAAACATATATAATGCAAAGTTACCGTTTTACCTATTTTAAAATTAATGAAAATGGTGATAAAAAATTGAGTGATTATGATGAAACGTTATATGAAATTGGGTGTCATGGTGAAATAAAATTAAATTTGGTGGTCATGTTGACACTAAGTATAAAGTTGGGCAACCATGGTTGAACAAAATCAAATTGGGTGATCTGGCGACACTTAATATAAAGTTGGGTGACTATTATTGGATTTAACCCTGAGAATTACTATTTGGTCTTTATAAACATACATGGACCCATCTTTTATGGAGACTTTGTGACCTTTTTGTCGGATGTGCTAGTGGATTGGTGAATATGGACACATGGTTGTACGCCATCTGCAAATGAGATAGAAGTAGAAAAGGCATGTACCCTTGTGTTTAGGGTTACATGTGATCATGGGATAATCGTTGTTGCTGCGTCGAGTCTGTTGTATTGTCGGAGCCTTGGTGATTTGGAAAGGGCATATTGAGTGAATGTCTCCACTCCGACCAGTATATGTCATGGGCATCAATCGCATGTAAGTCGCAGATTTCGATTACTAAAATTGGGATCACTTCTCCACCTCGAACAATACTAGAGACAATACTGACATGGGTACTCTCTTTATTAATACCTTGATCGCTCCACAATATACAGTCCTTAGGTCAAGTTAGTCTTGGGCCTAAAAATGAACGTTGATGAGGTTGTCTAGATTTGGGCTAGGGCAATTCCATTTGTACATAAATGGATGACAATGAAGGTTGACAATCTCTCATATGCATGTGGCCTCATGTGACTAAAAAATTTCTAAAAAAAAAAAAAAAAAAAGTGGGCCTCCCTATTGTGAGTGTTCGATCATCCACATTGTCATCCATTTCGGTACATGTAGCATGATTGTTTTGGCTATTGACTCCTCTGATATCCCACGACTAATCCTATAGGTTTGGGACCTGGCTCTTGCATGCACTCCGGAGTGAGAGAAAGATGTTCAAGGTTGTATAATGAAACGAGTGATAAGTTGGGAATTACTGTGTTGTCCTAGACCATACCTAGGTCTTGTATGGGAGGGATTAAAATCGGATTAAAATTGAAAATATAGTCGTTATTGTTGACTTTTATTAGACGAGTGGGACCCAATAACGGCCATATTTTCAATTTTAATTGGCTTTTAATCCCTCCCGAACAGGTTGCTAGATCCGCATTTTATTGAGCTTTTGTGGCGGTTTTGATGGACGTGCTAGTCGGTTGGTGAACATGGACACGTGGCTGCACGTCATTCATTGGTGAGATAGAAATGGAAAGGGAATGTTCCCTTAATGCATGGGTTATATGGGATCATGAGATAACAACTAATGCTTCGTTGCATCTTTTGTACTCGTGGAGCAGGTGATCAGGAATGGCATTTGAGAAAATACCTTGACATTAATTAGTACAAGTCGCTGACATCGATCACACATTAGTCGTAGATTTCGGTTACTAAAATTGGGATCACTTAGCAACACTAGGAAAAAAAAAATACTATATTGTGTGTACTCTTTTTAATAACTCATTGACCGCTTATCTAGGTCGCTTAGCCCATGGCCTACAGTCCATAGGTCAAGTTGGTCATGCGCCTAAGGATGAACAAAATTTTCTTGCCAAGCTACATGAAACAGATTTCCGGAAGTCCACAAAAAAATTATTGCTAATTGACCGAAGTGAGAAGCAAAAATATCTCTGTCTTCTCGTCTTCTCATTCTCATCATCGAAATTGATCTTCTATTTGTCTAATAGGTGACTGGAGGATGTCTCAATTCTTAGCTCATAAAACCTTACCAACATAAGTAGATTTCTTACTGTAAGAAGGTTATTTTTGTAAATTATGGCTATGTTTGGTACCAATTCTCATTTTCAACAGTAAATCAATTCTCATTTTCAACCACACATTCTTCAATAAAATAATATTTTCTATTACATCAATAATCTTATCTTCTTTTTCAACCACACATTTCTCATCATATCACTATTCAAAATCAATTCTTCCCCCAAAAAATCCATACCAAACACACACTATATCTTGACTTATTTCGTGTTAGAAAACTTTACTATATTTTGAATTTCAATGTGTTTCCATATCATTTCATTATTTAATGTTTATAAATTGTTTATGAATGAATAAATTACTTTTTATTTTCAAATTTAATTGGACCTATAAATACTACATTCCTATTCATCACTCATTTCCATCTACTTATATTTAAACTGTTAATAAACGCTTCCATAAAAGCTTATAATTTATCTGCACCAATATTTATTTCTGTTGAAGGATATTACACCGATAACGTGCATGAATTATATTCTCAAAACTACCTTTTACTTTGCGCAAAATCGAACATAGTTTCGACTTACCAAAATAGAATTTGAGAAGACGAAATGATAATTACTTAACCCCAATACGTGACGATGGATTTAATCATTTCCATTCTTCTACATAAATAATTTTTTATAATAAAAAGAATAGTTAGTTTTCGAAAATCAAATCTCAAACTCAAAGAAATCGGAAAATAAAATAGGAAATGCAAGTGATTTGATTGATCGAGGCAAGTGTTTAACACTTTCTCCTTAAAATGAATTTGCCCCGCATCTGTGCTAACGGTTTTCGGAAATTATCTCCCAAGATACAACAACCACATCTCGCAATAGGACCACTCCTACGTAGACCAACGAGCTCTTAACAGAATTCTCTCTCTACCGAACCATGTTTTTATGCAATAAAAGACCACTTTTACAAAGTGTTTTTATGCAATGCAACTAAAAGAAATGATATGGAATTATGAATTGAATTAATAAATTCAAACACATGGGGTCTATATATAGTAGTTGGAAATGCTTGTCTTAAAAGATAACCATACAAAGGACTACATCTCTTGAAGTTTATCTCTATATGCGAAGAGACACACACACCGAAAAATAATCATGCCAAAAGTCGTGATTTTTCCTATGGAAAAACACATATTTCCATCCAAATATTTTCTAGAATATTTCATAAAATTGTATACGATTTTATAACAATCTACGTTTTTAAGTAACTAAAACTTGGCTTAATTTCCCATTCATCATCATGAAATTGGCAAAAAAAAGTTTAAAATGATTGTACCTTGAAATTCGAATTTTATTTCCACTTTTGCATCAAACAGTCAAAGTAGAAATTAAATTTATCGAGTGTGACATTTTTCATGAAATTTAAATCAATTGAACAGACTCTCAGAGAAATCGGCTCATTTTTCATTAAACTAGGTGCCATTATTTAGTCATGGAGATCAATACGAAAGTCGGAAAATGAAATTTATTTTTTCATAATTAAGACACAAAAAATGAGGTAAAGAAAGAAAGAAATTATTTAGCAATGGTGGAGCCGTGGAGGTTGCTCTTAAAAGAGGTTATCAGCTGTCGCTGCCTGCCCTGGCATGTGGACACCATTACATGTTAACAAGACAAGTCCTGTCAGTTTCACTCAGATTTCATGTGTAATTTTGTCAGCTAAAGATATTCAAATAAAAAAAATGATATAATATTTTATGGAAAAAAATTTTAGAAGATAAAAAAAGACTACACTATATGTGATAGAAAATTTTAAAAGATAAAAAAAGACTACACTATATGTGATAGACTACACTATATATTAAGAGGGTGTTTAGTGAAAATTAAAATTAAATTTTTAGTAGATTATGATAGAAGTTTTTCAAATATGTGGTTAAAAAGTTGTGGGACCCATAAAAGATACTGTTAATATTGATTGTTTGATTTTGACTTGGATTAAAATCATATTTTAATCCGGACCAAACAGGGGCGAAATAAAATATTAACTTTATTTTTCTTCTTAATTCTTTTTTACAAAAATATTATCTCTTTTATATCTCTTACTTCTCTATGTGAACTCAAACTAGAAAAATCTGCGTACTCCTTTAATTTTTGGCTTTTAATCCCCATTCTCATGAAGAATAAATAAAAGGGTTTTAAAGAGGAAAGATATTAATTAGTTATTTATGTGAAGATCAAAATTTCACTTCACTTCACTTAAATAAATAAATAAATAATTCATGAGAGTTGGGATTGCTAACTTTTTAATTTGAAGCACAACACTCATATCCAAAGTTCTCAAACGAGTAATCATACTCCGAGGTAACATGTTTTTATCGAGGAATATGTTAAGGATAAATTCTATCGAGCGTTACTTCACGTAAACATAGGGTCCCAATTGAATTGGCTTATTCAAAAAAGACTTGTTCTTTAGCGTGTCCACACCCTCCCCCACCCGACCCCGAGTGGACGAGGAAGAAAGGATTTCTTGGACCTTAAAACGAGCGTAGCCCCTTACCGGGAAATAGAAAGGTGCGACAAGTTGGTTTGAGATTTTGTTATATTAAATGGAATCTCAGAGACTCGATATTCAGTAGCAGCAAGAATAAAGATTTATAATTAATACATTTTCTTGGAACTAAATAGCCAAGAAAAAAAAAGATCTCTTCTTCTTTTTGCTTCACTAATAATGAAAAAAACTGATACTAAGCTATACAGCATTTTCATTTTCTTGACGAGGTTGAAACCCATAAAAATCAATCAATTTCTGCAAAACCGAAACCTGGGTTTCGAGGAGTACGATATAGTTTGCAGTTTCTTCAAACAACTCCTCGGCCTTCGCATTTTCATTTTGAGATGGAATCAAACTCTTCAGAGCTTGCAGCTTGTCGGAAATCGACCCGCCGCCGTGATTTCTATCAATGTGGGTGGATCTTGTATTGATTCCAGGTTTACAGAGGTTTTTATATGAGTTTGATGATCTCGCCCTCAGCCGTCTCCCGGCGGAGATTCTTGGTTTTGAACCCATGAGGTGGCGGTGGAGTTGGAAGTGGTGGTGGCGGAGTATGGATTGGTGCTGTAACGGGGTAATGCAAAAGGCGTTATGGAGGACGGGTATAAGTAAGGGGAGATTGAAGCAGTGCCACTTGTTTACGAAGAAACTACAAGAATGCCATTGTGGATATTTGTAGCTTTACCTCAATTTGCATAAAAAGCATTTTTGGATTTTATGATGATGACTGCTATAACTTTACAAATAAACATTATTTAAATATTCTTATTTGTTAATATAATCAAGTTTTTTCAATCTTTCGTTGTTTATAATTTCGCGATTGTTAATTTAATCCAACTTGTAGATGGTAACAAGTCTACTCTATTAACTAGTGAACACCTTTTTATTATTTTTATTTTAAAAAATTTAATTGAGGATGAGTAAATAGAAAGTTGTTAGATAGACTCGATATATAAGCATGGATCGTGTCATTATATATCTAGACTGACAAGTATGTAAAGTATGATAATGGTTGTCTTAGATACTCGACATGGCCACGCTCGAGAAAAGCTTTAAATCGTGATGAATCAAGGTTCTAATGCAAACAATTTATATAGATCCACCTGCCGTGTCAAAAAAATTTGACATTTCAAATTTAAACTTTGCTGCATGTACAGAGATTTTGTGCATATAGCCGTCATTGGATGGAAGCCAAAAACTGTAGTGTTGGGAACCAATGCATCTGTAATTTGCACAGGGTGATTCACACTATACAAGTAGTTTAATTCTTCAAATATATTTTTCTTAACTTCTACTTTAAAATTTGAAGAAGTTTTAAAATATTGTGTGGGGAACTTCTAAGTAAAACTTTCATTGATCCATGTGTGAGTCGACACGACATAGTTCACTATAGAAGTGTGTTTAGTCTACCTAATGGTAAATCAAGTTATAAGATTATTGATCAATTTAGAAAAATCTTAGAATTGAAAAGTCCAGTTAAAGTCGTCCTTAGAATCTATGTGCATATTTTTGACTGCGTTTAAATTATAATTTAATCACCATGTCATACATAATGTTTAAATAAAAACTAACAATAAGTTGTGAGCCCATAAATTGTGTAGATAAGAGTGTGTTTAACCCATTCAAATTATAATTTAAACTTCGTCAAACATGCACTTTTTCTTTCAAATTTTATCAAATCAAAGTACTTATTTTCGGTCTACAAACTTATTCATTAAGGGCGTATTCGGTAGAAATTAAAATCAGATTAAAATTGAAAAATTAGCCGTTATTGTTGGCTTTTATTAAACGAGTGAGACCTAATAACGACTATATTTTTAATTTTAATCCGATTTTAAGCTTAGACAAACATGCTCTAAAAGAGGCAATGAATGAAGGGTGTCCCTAAAATTATTAATTTTTTGACTGATTTCTAGTATCGATTTATTAAGACATGTAATTTTTAGATTTGAATATCACAATCTCAATATCTTTCAAAATTGAACTTGTGGTGGTGACATCTCGAACGTCATTGGGCGAAAGAGATGCAAAACTTAAATAGCAGCTTCCACCTAACCAAATTATTGTAAACAATCCTCATTCAATAGTCCTCACTCCTCATTGTATCAACACGACCCACACAATGAGAGGTTTGTATGTACAAGGGCATTTCTGTAATTATATCAAAAAGACCCCCGTTTCCGTATCCCTCAACTTATAGCGGGAAGTGGCTCAACTTGAATGAAAGTTGTAATGCGAAAAAGCCTGCCCATTGACCATGGCACATGTGAAAGTCCGGGACTTTCAACTTGTCTTCCCCAAGTACCCCCAGTACCATTAATATTTATTAACCACTTGACCCTTAACCCCCAGTTTGGTGGGCTTTTTTTAGAAAAATATTATTTTAAATAGTGAATTTTTGGAGAATGTGTGGTTAAAAAATATGGAAAAGTTTTGAATTTACGTGTAAAATATTTTATTGTATAAATGTGTTATTTAAAATAAGTATATAGAAAAATGAGTTTTGAAAAAATGAGAGATAAACATAGGCTTAAAATCATTCTTGTAAATAATATTAGACAGTACTGAATCGTATTTTGTTATAAAATCATGTTCATTTTACTAAACATGCACTAGATGTAAAAGTGAAATTAACTTTATTTAATATCTGATTTTGAGGTCCCGAGTCAATATTTAGAAGGAATTTTTTTCATATACTAATCGATTTTCCAAAAGTATCATTATCATTCAATAAGAAGGGTTTTCATTTTTCCAAGTGAACAATTTGAAGACTTTTTCTAAAAAATGATTCCTATTTACAAGGAGATAATAACGAGAAGAAAAATGGATCCCCGAAATATGTTGAAAATAAGTAGGTAATCGTTGTGAATGTGCTATTAAAATTAAAATTTGATTGAAAATTATAAGTTATTAACAAGGAAACTCAAACACGTACGTAAAGATACATTTTTCAACCAAATCGCGAGATAGTTAATATGGTATTGACTAACTAATGAAAAAAATCACAAGATGTGGCAATTTTTTTGTGGAGATTCACGAAAGATTACAAGTTTAATTTCAATCCGATGGTACAATTAGAATAATTTGGAAAAGTGGGATTATGTATACCAAATTGGAACAAAATTGAATGTGATGCATTTACATTGCAGGCATAGAACGGATTATATGTCTCATAAACTTAGTGAATAATGACAGAGCCCATTATCGCTATGAAAGGACATTTAGGACATTCTATATCACAATCGACAATCTCATAGCAACTTAAATTTTTAACTTCTTATTTTTATGTTAATAAGTATTCAGTCTATCATATCAAACGTGTCATCAGAATATATTTGATAGGTTGTGGTGGATATGGCTAGATGTGGGTAAAGAAGAGAACCAAATGAAGAAATTTGTTAATGGTGGTGTGGAATCAATAACCATATTTACTAAGCTAGTGCATCAAACAAATTATAGAGAGGATAAACAAAAAATAATAATGTTGAAGGGCGGTTAAGTCATTTCAGCTAAAAGAGTGGGGTTCTAAGATAGTCGTTAGGGGTCCATGGGGGCTCAAAAGGGCACATGTGGTATGGGCCAGCAAAGCTTTAGTGGAAGAGAGAAGAAAGGGGGCGGGGAGATACACACACATAGAGGGGAGGGAGGGAGAGAGAGAGAGAGAGGTGGGCAATGCACATGGGAGAGCACATGTAGAAGAGAAGAGGATTGTACCTTTGAGAGAGATAGGAAGTGACAACGGCGAGACAGTGAAGCAGCATGAGACGTTCCCATGTTCTGCACATTCCTTGCGTGCTACTCATCCCCCTTTTTTTCCCTTCTTACTTGGATCATTATACACCAATATGCTAGACTCGATTTGTGTTTAATATACGAATGGACTATGAATACTGAAAAGATCGAAGATTACACACATCGGGAGCCAATAATATGCATGTTTATAGAGAATGTGCAGAAAAATTGTATGAATCACATTATCGTTATTAATTTTTGACTTATATTACAAGTTTTACAGAGTCTAAAACACATAAAGTTCGTTCATTTTGGGAATTGTCCCCTCTCGATACTTTAGAGTAGAAATCTCAATGATAAAAGGCTCTACAAACACAAAATTTAAGCGAGACCTTAACATGTGAAGTTTTGAAAGAACTTATCCTACGAGTGGGGTCGATATAGGACTTGCTGACAAACTACTACAAGTCTACAACTGAAACGATTAAATCTTCACAATATTGTTTAAATGCAAAAACCGTAACGGTTTGCCAACCTGAACATCCAACACTTGGTCACCATAACCTAGCTATTTTTGTACATAGATAATCACGTTTAGATTATTTAATTTTGTCACATGTGTGCATGTGGTTTTCCTAGTTATCTCAAGCCGGCATGTGTACCACATGGGATAATGTAGGTCACTGCATTTAGACTACTATTAAAATAATCAAAATTTAATTTAATCTTCATAGTCAAATTTTGTACTATAGTTGTTTAATCATTAATTTTTAATTAAGTTATAATCCATTCATGGTTTAAATTAACCCCTGGCAGCCTTTTCTTGATTAAATAGCACTACCATCACATAAATTATGAGCATTGTACTTAGTCCATGTTTGGAACAAATTTTTTATACTTATTTTTTTAAATTTCATTTTTAACTATACATTCTTTTAATGAAATAATTTTATACGTGTACCCATATTTTTTTCCTACTTTTTAATCATACATTCTCCAAAAAAAATTATTTTTCATGAATTTATTAAAAAAAGAAATTATATCTAACATGCCCTTAATATTCTTACGTCCACAATTGTTATATAAATTGTTTAAAATTAATTGTTTTAATATAAAAATACGACGTATCAAAATAGCTTGATCGGCCTAGCAGAATTTATGAACTTTTTAAAAGATTGTATAAAGAAAAGTTAAGACTAGAATTGTTACGTGAGCTAGGTGTTTATTCCATAGCCAGTCCGGTTGTTATGTGTTACTCAATACGATTTAATATTAAGTATCGAACATGTACCGAAAAGTTTAGTACATGACCAATACGATAAAGGGACAGCTTTACAAGATGTGATTTGACAACCTTTATTTCTCGGCTCATCAAACACGGCCATTTTGAGCTGCATAAATCCATGTGCTTTAATTTTACTTTATATATTCCTTGTGTTTTCCGGTCGGCAATTGCAGAATTCTCAATTCAGTACTCAACATGCCAAATCACTTTTTGTTCTATCCAAATGCCCCACTTGTTTTGTCCAACATGAAACATTAATTTATGCAAATTTTTTATTTTGTCGTTTTTGAAGGGCTATGCTCTATTTTATTTTTATTTTTATTTTTTCTTTTTGGGCATTTGATTGAGATATAGGTCAACTATTAACTGGATTTGGGATTGTTAATCAATGGAAGGAGTATATATATTTCTTTTATTTCAAATTTTAAGTGTAAAACAATTAAGTTTTGGTGGTAGAGACAAAATAATAATATAAGAGATCTTTATCTATATTTTATTA